AACAACTGAAAATTTGAAACTAAATAAATTATACAAAATACACCAAATGTATGAGATTGAATTCAACTTTATCTCTAACATTCTGAAATTGTACCTTCAATTTTTTATTAATGGATGTGACTAACGAAAAGTTTGTAGGAAACAGATTAAAAGATCAAGAGTAAAATTAAAACCAATCATATATAATTTGTGACTTATATAACTCCAACGATCATCTCTTAAAGCCAAAAAACTTCTTCCTGTATCTTAGAACTCAAAAGATACAATTCAACGACCTACCGAACAGATCCTATTCAAGTACGGTCGTACTTCTTTCTTTACCAAGTTAACAAGCTCTAAGCATTTTTCAAGATGACTCTCATATCATATTATGGATATTGAGAGGTTCTCGACTAAAGAAAACGTTTCAGTATTCTATCGGCTCATACTTGAAACTTGAGGACATCATGTACACAACTTATAAAACAAATCCTGTTCATTAACATGGTGTCCACACAGATGTTCAAACTCAATATCTTAAAAAGTGTCTAAAACCAAGAAATTTGAAAAASYACATTCATGGATACATCATACATAATAGATGTGAGCATGCCTGAAGAAAATTTCAAGAACAAAACTACAAAAAGTGAATTTTCTGTTTTATCTCAATCAAAGTTCTGATGCAAGTTTACAGATATCTTCATATTCAACAGCCTTAAGCACCCTACCATCGTACACGCCCTTTTCTATCWGCACTTTAGCACAAAATTTATCAGTGTCGACGCCCAACAACCGAGCATTCGATCCACGATATGCCCCGTTCACTATCCTTACTAAGCCGCCAATTTGTGGTATCACGGTTTCTAACTCTTCTTGATCGACCCTCAACACGTGCTTACCATCGAGCATTTCGATCTCTCCGACATATTTATCAATCACTTTTCGCACAACTCCCTTTTGTTTATAGTATCCCTTGTCAGCCAAAGCCTTGCTCATGACCTTCACAATTATTCCCTCGCATAGCCAGTAGTCCTTCCTGTTAAGCTTCTCCTTCTTCRTCTCTTCTTCTCTCATCAATGCCTCCAGAGCTGACCGACCACCGTTACCCGTCTTGCTTCTGGAATTCTCTCCCTGTTTCCCTTTGTCAGTCTCATCTGTCTCGTCCTCATCGAAAACCACCCGGGTACTCTCTGCTTTCTCTTTCAACTTTGATGATGTTCCCAAAGCAAAGCCTAGCTTAACTCCAGTCTCTAATCTCAACTCTCTCGTTTGTTCAGCCTCTGAAGGCTCAGCAGATACAGAAGCCAAAGGCGCTAATTGCTCGGCCCTCTCGATTTGCCTCTTTATCTCTCTCTCTTGCTTCTCTTCTTCAGCTAGATCTGCCCGCATCCTCTTATTCTTCATTCTTTCTTTGAAAAGTGTTTCTGAATCTCTATCTATGTAAGTAATGAACCAACCCTTGGGAGTCTCCTCCACCTTACACTGACCAGTTCKACCCAAATGTTTTACAAACTCAGTGAGAGTAGCCCACTGCGTAGAGTTCATATGAATATGATGYCGGTCGTTAATGTATTCGTTGTAGACAACAGTGGCTGCCACACGACTGAACCGATGGCTGCGCTTGATGTGTTCCATGAAAGAACTCTCAAACTCTTCGGAGTAACCTTCAACAATGCGATGCGGATTCTGGCCAAAAATCTGCATTTGGCGCTGGTGGCTCTCACTCATACAGTGACACTTGAAGCCATTCTCATCCCGGCACTGCTTCTGGCACATCTGGCAATACCACCTGAGTTTCTGGAGCCCCTTCGCCTTGATTCTGTTTGCAATTGCTTTAGGGGTTAAGAATTCGTTCTTCCCCATCGAAAATTCCTCGACAAGTTAGGGCTTTAATTTGCCAATATTTGCAACGCTACTCAAAAGAAGAAGATGACCAACTGCGACCTTCGAGGAAAAAAATGCCCTAAAGCACAGAAAATTGGAAATTACAAATAAAGAACAGGAGAAACAACCCAGTAGCAGCACCAAGCTGATCTCATACTTTTTCATCAAGGGTCCGAAATAAAGAAACAGTAAAAAATAATACCTAAATCTGTCAGCAGCAGAAGGAACCGAATCTCAAAATTCCCAACGCGAATCAGCGAGCGTTGTGCAAGCCCTAACACCGCACAGAAACGTCCAAAACCCTAATCTGAAAATCACAGCTCGTAAGAGTAGAAATTATGAAAATAATGAACCGAATCGAGCGAATAACACAATGTAGAAGACGACCTAGATTACAAAAAAAACGAAAGGGGAGCTTGAATTGCAGGATTCGGGGGGAGAAATCGCAGAAGAAAACAGAAGGAATCAGAAATTTTCGCTGAATAGAAACTAAAATCGAGAGAAAAATAAGAAGTGGAGGGAACCCATGGAATTACAGAGATGGAGCTGCGTCTGGAAATTGAGAGAAGCCGCTTTTCCCAATGCTCAATCGCTCTCTTTACAACGAAAATTGAAAATTTCTTCTGGGTAGAAATTCTACTTCGTTGTCCAATTTTCAAATTTATTTCATTTTAATTTTTCAACTTTTATAATTTCTTACTCTATTGTTATACTTTTTTAAGTTTTAAAATTAAAATAAATATCTCGAAAGGGACTAAATGAAATAAATAAGAAAGTTCAAAACTAATATGAAATTTAAATTGTGCAAGTTGTAAATATAATTTTTGAAATAAAAGAAAATGCAAAATGTAAGGGGTAATGTGGTCATTCTTCTTTTCTTTTTTCCTCCATAAATGTATTAGAGTCATTTTGGTCAATATATTTTCAACTTTTGTTTATTTTAATCATTTACTTTTAAAAGTGGCCAATTTGAAACCTATTTGTAAAATTTTAACATAAATTTATATATAATGAGAACTTTTTAATACAAATTTATGATCACATTTTAATAAATTTAGCTAATAAAGTGTCACGTTAAAATTAGTACAGAGACCAAAATAGACTTTAAAAGTCTAAGAACTAAAATGAACAAAACCCTAACATTTAATAGATGTTTTAAAAGTATAACAATTCAAATAAAATAAAGTTGAAAAGACACCGACAAAATTGGTAAAATTAAAACCAAATAAACCAATGTAATTAAGTTCAACCTTCCATATCATAATGGTTGAACTTAAAAAAAATAATAATAATAATCAAATAGATGTTAAAGAATGGAAATGAGAGAATGAAAATTATTTTCCTTCCAAACATGAATGTTAATTCTCAATATTAGTGTTTTACCACAGTTCAGAAGAATGTAAAAGACAAATGCACAAAGAGAGCAAACGAAAAGAAAAGGGCTCCACCAATCTAACACGATCAAATCTAAAGGGTAATTACAAAAATATTTGAACATCGAGACCCAAAGAGAAACATTAAACTCGGGGATAATATTTTTATTTAATTATTTCCATGCATAACCATAATTACATGTCATAGCATAATCAAAACTTTTTCAATGCTCAATTAAAGTTATAATATGATCAGAAGGTCAGAACAGAATGGGATTATGAAGATGATCCTCAAAAGTTACTAATCTGAGCTATCATTCAGAGTTAATTTTAAAGTTCTAACTGAATCACACACAGCTTCTTCCCTGAATCTGAACTGCAAAAGAGTATATTGAGACGATAATTATTCACATATTCAAACATGCAGTAAGAAGCCCATAAAAGATCGAAAAACCGACCGACCGACCAGATATCGCAGGAGATCGGTTCAACTTTAAAGTTTGTTCTTCCATTTCCTTGTGTGTTAAATATGGATAAAGAGAGGAAATGATGCAGGTCAATAGATAGTAGTGACAGAAAAAGATACATTCAGCAAGTTTTTCCTTGTAGATAATCAGAACATAACAAGTCTAGACACAATTCATGCTATATATAAGATGAGAGAACGCAACCGAATGTAAATGATAAACCTCTCGAGAATACCGAATGAGGCATTCGTTTTATTTACTCGAAAGCAGAACACCAAAGACAGACATCATGGTTTGGTGTGAGCTACGTCATTTCAAGCAACCATGACACAGCAGTTTAGAATAAAGGGACTGAGATGGTTCGTTCCACAATCGAGACGCCTCCACTGCAACCGCTCGGCCCTGGGATCTGGGGTGCAAGTGTATATGCTCATGGAATTGTTTGTCGAAGACTCTGAAGATGCACCAATGACCAGAAGTTCATCTCCAAGTGACTTGAATGCAACTCCCCAACCTCTGTTAACAACAGCGAGCACTGGAACTGGACCCAAGTTCTTCCACTCATTTCTCCTCTTCAAGTATACCTTCAGCGCATTCGAAGAAGGTTCGAGCGAGTAGAGCTCGTTGTTCACGACTGCAACAAGAGGAGGCGATTGTGAAGTCGAGATTGGCGCATCTTCCAGCATATTTTCGATCAAATCCCATGAGTTCTTCTCCTCGTCGAAGACTTCGCCACAAGTGAGATGGTTTCCATCTCTGTCTCTCCCTCCAATGACATAGAACTTGTTATCCATGAAGCAACCCGAGCACTTCTTCCTCGCCTGGTGCATGTTCGGTAGGGGCTCCCACAATAAACTTTCAGGATTATACTTCTCTGCAGTGTTCAAGACGGTTTGACCATATTCCATCCCCATACCGAAAGCACCTTCTGCACTGAACTCTAAAGCAATCCCTCCTGCAACAAATGCATTGGTACCACAAGAGGCAGATGCAAATAAACACCTTGGACTGATCATAGAAGAGCCTTTGATCCATATGTTCTCTACCAGCTGATACCTCCAATTGGCACCTCCTGTAAGTTCTCTGCCCGTAACGATGAGATGCGTGCCTGCACATAGCGATTCCTTATCCGCATCCAAAAAGCAGGTATCCGATGGAAGGATCGGAAGCCTGCGACATGTCTGGAATGTCCGATCGAATACCATCCAGCTGCTCTCCCCACTTGCTAACATGAAAACATATGGCTCTTTGTACCCAATTTCTTTCCTAATCTTAAATAGTTCGCCACTCTTCACAAGATCTAAATATCTCTTGCTCACAGAAGCCAACTTCCATTGCTCGGATTGGGGAAACCTAGCCAAGATGGAAAGCTCCAACTCTTCACCAAGTGAAGGAATCGAATAATCTGCATCCTGAGATTTTAAACCAGAGGATTCACCAACACCACAGCCCCCAGCCATTTGCCGTGTCGAACAACAGCCAACAAACACCCCAGAAAGCAAATTTTTCTTCTTCCTCGAAGCTAAATCACACCTAGACAACTCCTCTTTCTCTTCTTTACCTTTATTCTTAGACATTGATCCAAAACTGCAAAACCAAACCAAATGAACAAACACAACCTTATGCACTCACTCTCAGACTACAAACGTCAAACAGAAAAAGAAAAAACCCCAAATTAAATATTCAATCAATCCATCAGTTTCTAGTCATTACCCTCAAAGAAAACAACTACCAACTGCTAAATTTCCAAGATTCACTTCCAGAAACACAAAAGAGATGAACTCTATCACAAAGATCCCAAATCACCATTCAGTCAGGCAAAGAAACAAACACCTCAAGGGCAGGATCAGTCAAAAACCAACACACAAGTGGGCAAAAACAGAACCACAGAGCCCAGAAATCTCAGACACTCAACCGATCATCAGGGAAGAAACCCAGAAGTTAAAAATCAGAAAGAAGCAGTGCAAAAGGGGGTTACCAGGAAAGTCAAAGCCGTGAAGAAAGGGGCAAAAGGGTTTCTGAAAAACGAGACGAAAGTCAAAGAACCGAGTCGTGGCAGCCGCTGGGGGTGGAAAATGGAAGAGGGGGCAGAAGGAGAAGGAGAAGGAGAAGAAGAAGGAGAAGAAAATTTCTGGAGAGAAATGGGAAAGAGGAGGCCATTAAGGCAGAGAGAGGAATGAGGGGGAAGAGAGCAGGTGGTGGTGGTACTAATAATGGTGGCAGAGGAACAGTAGCGAACTCGAAGACCACACAGAGTTGGCAGTTGCTGGGGGCAAATCCATGGCTACTTTTTTAGGATTAGGAAGCGAGAGAGAGGGTTTCTTTAAGAGATTAAAATAAAGTTCTATGGGGAAAAATTAGTATAAAAATGGCCACCACAAGGAACCACCAAAATCAAAAGGCCCAATTGCTGTGCTAGCAACAAAATCGCGACACCTCCACCTCCACCTCCACCTCCACTCCATTAATTAATTAAAACCCAATATGATATTCGGTTGGGATTTTAAGAGAGAGAGAAAAGGAGAGAGATTCGGATTCTGATTGGTTGGTTTGTTTGTTGTTCTTCAGAACCGAGGAGAAAGAAGGAAGAAGACACTGCCCCTGTAAATCAAACCCTTCAAATTCGAAAACGCTGCACTTTTTTTTTCTTTTAAATTTTTTTTTGTTCGATTCGGTGATTTTGGGGAATGGGTTCCAAGTCATTTCTACGGGGGATTTCCATTCTAAGGCAAAAGTTCCCATCGCTCTCCTCCAATCAACCTTGCCAGCCCATGCATAATATGACAAAAGTTTGGATTTTTATGAGCTTCAATGCAAAAAGATTGGTTTTGTGAGCGTCAATTCAAGGAAAAAACAAACAAACTATGGAGGCCATAACTATACCTTCAAAATTTATGGAATTTTTGTCATGAGACCTATGAGACCTAATTACTGACATAATAGTACGTATTAGTAACTAAAGGTCATAAGTTTGAATCTCCCAACTTATTTTAATTATTATTCAATAACGGAATTGAAGCCTTAGTTCTAATAACTATCTCAAATGGAGAGTTATGAGGTAGAATTGCACTTTGTTTCTTGGTTTAATTTACTATTATGATCTTTTTTTAGTTTTGATTCATTTTGGTACCATTACTTTCAAAATATCTACTTTGGTTTTTATGTTTCTAACTTTTGTTTATTTTAGTTTTTATACTTTCAAAACATTCATTCTTGTTCTTATACTTTTAAAAAGTGTCCATTTTGGTTCCTATTGGCATAACTTTACACAAATTTTATACATATATAAACTTTTTAGGACAAATTTATGGCATATTTTAACAAATTTAGTGAGAAAAATATCATGTTAAATAGAAAGAAATGAGATAAAAAATGAAATTGAATTGACCAAATTGATAATTTAAAAAAGTATAAGATCAATTCAAAAGTATAGAGACTAAAACGACTAAAAGTTGAAAATATATAGATAAAAAATAAATATTTTAAAAATACTAAGACTAAAATGAATCAATTTCATACTTGTAATGTGACGGAGTGGTCTTAGGGTTAAATGTTGACACTCAACATCCACGTTCAAATCCATTTGACGGACAACTGTCAAGTAAGTCATAAAAAAAAATCAAAATTCGAAACTATAGAGCCGAAATAGTATTTAAACTCTTTTCTCCTTAAAAAAAAAAAAGAAAGAAAAAGAGAAAAGGTAAGTTTAGAAGATTGGTGGAAGTGGGATTTGCTTATTGTTTTCATTAAAAAAAATATATATAAATGCTAAGTTTTGGTAATCAAAACTTGAGGTCCAATGACTTGCAACCAAATGAAGGTATTGGAAAAAAAAATTAGTACCTTTTTTTTTTTTTGGCCTTCAAAGTGCTATGACTACTAAATGACATGAATTCTGACAATGATAATTATACTGTCAAAATAACTGCAAACCACAATTTATAATTGGGGTTTTCTTTTCCCTTTCTTTTTCACTTTATTGCAAGAGAATAAAATCATTCTTTTGACCAATAATTTTCTGCCATCTTATCAAAAAGAGAGAAAAAAATTTGTTCATTGATTTCTTTTTAAATTCAATATTTCCAAATTAATTATTTGAGTTGAAGAATCAGAATTTCTTTTTAAATTCAGTACAACTTTAAAGCCTAATTATATAAAATAGCTAAGACAAAGTTTGCTCTTGTTTTAAAATTTTCATTTTAATTTTAGGTTTTTAAGTAGTCTAAAACAATTATTTCATTAAACTTTTTTTTTTACCATCCTTATTTCAATGATTGTTAAAGCGAGTTTAGCACAGGATAATTGACATATATTTTTKACAAAGTCATGAGTTCGAAACCCTACCTCCACATATTTACTAAAGAAAAATCTATTTAAATGATTAGATTCTAAAAAAAAATTGAGTTATAGTTTGGATAATTAGGTGACTATTATTTACCTCGACAAAAGTTGAGATCTCTTTGTCTCAATCAACAGACAAGAAAAAATTATTGTACTAGTGTAGACGAATGCCTAGATGAACAAATGATTTATCTAAAGCTTAAGAGCTAAAATTAAAATTTTGAAATAATAATAGCATAATTGAAACCAGCTTCTAAAACGACTCCGAAAAATTAAACCTAAAACTGACTAAAACCTCTACGTAATTAATTCAAGGAAAACCTCGCAAAATCATAGTTTTAGGTCTTGTCGCATCAACGGACTAGTTTGGGATCATGTCTTCTTGAGCTCCTCTAAAACGTTGGGAAAAAAGATTTACTAGCCCTCGAGAGCAATTTATATAATTTAGCCCGAGTTCAATAACAAAACCCAGTTTTATTTCTTATAAAAATTAAAGGTATCAAAATGATAATGTTTGAAGCCATTTGAATGATGTGAGTGAAAAACATGAAACCTAACATTACAACTTTATGGAAAATTTTTCTTACATTTAAATAATAACAAGTGGTGTGTGTCTAAACCCATCATCAAATTCTTATTCTAATGTTTTATGGGCAGAGCTTGTCACATTATTTTAATATGATCTTTTAGTACCAATTAAAAAATATATATGTTTTTTTTTTTTTTTGGAGTTGCCTAGGTCACTAAGCAACCCAAAAAACATGGAAAATTACATAAAAGGGCCCCAAGAAAAGCTTTGGGATACAAATATTTTGGAAAGTGATGCAACCATTATGTTTGTCCTATTCATTTGGGGCTGATTTTGCTAATTAAAAAAATCTCCTTTCTTTATCTAATTAATTATTAATTAATTAATTAATCCCCTTTGAAGCTTTTTTTGCATTAATTTAGAAGCAAACCAATTATAGAGGAAGATGCCACAGCCAAACACTACTATTGGTAATCCCATTTGGATGATGGTTTTCTTCACTGATTTCTAAATTATTGTTTTTTTTTGTTATTATAAACTTGAGGGCAGATTGGTAAAGCTGATATTTGGCTTTTAAATCTTATTTTGATTTCTTTAAACTTGGTTCTATTTTGATTTCTTTATTTTCAAAATGCTTTTGGAATCTATAGTTGTAAAATAGTGTCCATTTTGATCGGTGTATTTTTAAAAAGGGATCGTTTTGGTTATCATTTACAAAATTTTAACATAAATTTTGTGCACTATATGGAAACCAATTTGTGGCTACATTTCAAGAGATTTTGTGAGCTATGTGTCATGCTAAATTTATTATTAAAAGAAATGAGAAAAAATAAAACTAAATAGACCAAAATGATCAATTTTTAAAAGTATAGAGATCAAAATGGACGTTTTGAGAGTTCATGGAGTAAAAAAAAAAATTGAAAGCACATGAACTCGAAAGTATGAACCAAAATAATATTTCATGAGATTTTTCATGATAGTAACTAAATTGTTACGAATTGTACACTATATATAGAGACTAAATTGTTGCATATATACTGAATTTCATGCGCGTAATTGTTACAAATTTGAAATAAAGTTCAAGGACTAAATCATTACTTCAATGAAAATACATAGATCAAATATGTTTCTTAATTATTTTTGTACGTAAATATCACTTTTGAAATAGAAATATGTGAAGTGAACCATAAATGATTATATGAACTCTTATGAAACTTTATGGTGATATATCACCACAACAGTCAAATAAGATCACTAGCAATTATTTTCAATAAAAAAGAGAGTAGCTTTCAAATACCCTTTGGAAGAAATTTAAAACTAAAAAAAGCACAAAAGGAAAGAAAACAAAAAAGAAAACAAAAAACCAAACTTGATCAAGTTTTAAGATAGAAAATAATCATACAAACCCATTATGTRTTTGCCTTTCTCTTTTATAATGTGAACAATATTATATAGTCCAAAGGAAAGTTTTAAGTCATAATGACAAAACATTAAGCATTCTCTATTGGACATGTTGGGCTTAGTTTAAGAGTAAAATAAATGAGGGGAAAAAAAAAAAGCAAACTTTACCCATAAGGACAAAACAAGCTGCAATAGCTCTGTCAAATGGTAATTTGTGCACCAAAAATCACTCTTCATTGGGTGTTTAGTTTTTCTCTATTAAATACAAAATCTAAACATTGAGAGAGAGACAACTTAAAGATGTTAATTTTTTTTTTGTTAAAAAACATATTTGATCGAGTACTTTTGTTAAAGTAACGATTTAGTTTCGAACTTTAGTTAGTGATGATTTAGTTTTTGTATTTTAAATTGATAACAATTTAGTCCTTGAACTTTAGTGTGTAACAATTTAGTCTCTATAATTTAAAATTTGTAAAAATTTTGTCCCTAATGTAAAAAATCTCATCAAAATTAAATGTTGATTTTTATCTTATAATGATTTAATATTTGTAATTTGTAAATTCTTTCGACCCCTCATCGGTTTATCGATCTATATATGTAAGAAACTTAACAAAAACAATTTACGATAGGTACTAAATCGTTACAAATTTAAACTACAAGGACTAAATTGTTACAAACTAAAGTTCAGGGACTAAACTAGTATCAATTTAAAAGTACATGGACTAAACTAAAGTTGAGAGACTAAATTGTTATTCAGTAAAAATACATGGATGCAAAAGTATTTTTTAACCTAAAATTTTCATCAATGTTTCTAAATGTTCCTAATTCGAGAGTGAATTGATAAATATATTATATTAACAAAATATCATTAATGTAAACGTAATATTAATAATATGAAGTTTTAACTCATTTAAGCATTATGAAATGCTTGTTTGTTAATCTAAATAATTTTTTTATGAATGTATTGACTTTATAATTCTTTTTAAAAAATATCCATCAACGTGGATATTTTCACATGTTCATAAATATGAGACTACCTAGGTCATGGGAGAGAGAGATGTTCATAAATATGAGACTACCTAGGTCATGGGAGAGAGAGAGAACGAGGGAAGTTTCACCCTGCATTTTTTTAGTTCAACAACACAACATGGGGTGTGAGATTCGAACATCTGAATTTTTGGTCGAGAATATATGTACACTCAGGTTGGCGTTTCAATCATCCATTTAACAATTATGAAAATGATAGTAATACTTTGACAACCACAATAGAATGAACAACCTGAGCATCGGTGGTTAAAATATCTCCTTCTCCTTCTCCTACTCTATGTATACGATGTTATATTCTAGAAAATAACAATTATTATTGAGTATGAAAGCTATTTTGTGGCAGGCATATTGAATA